CTGTGTTAGAAGTATTTGTGGATCGATATGTGTACACTTGCAATTTATTTGAGACTGAACTTCTAGATAACCTAGATTACTCTGGATGTATCGAGATTATTCTGTTACTGTTAATCTACTATGCGAAAGTTCGTATTGGCTGTTCTTATTGTATTGAGATAAAGAATCATGGTTTATAATGTTGTTCTCGAAAGAGATTACGGGCACATGAAGGTGGTTTTGTTTGATAGAAAGTTGGTAGTAACACGATTATGTCAATATTATTATTTATTTTGTGTCTTATGTCTCAATATAGTGCGTATAAATTGCCATAAACCTTGTGCTACATAGTCCGTTAACCCAGCATGAGAAATGCAAGAATGACTCCTTTCTAATTAACATACTTTCAGAACGCATCTATACCGTTATTTCTTAGGATCCTAAATATCACACTTGGTAGCAGGGAGTTAAACGTGCAACAAGCATTAGTAAAAATTTTTATTACATCTGCGTCATAGCAATGTTTGGGTGTTATCCTGAATGCATGGATTACGTGATTTAATTTCTGGTGGACAGCAGTGTGATTTTAATAAGGCTTTCAATGCTTTCAAACCTGGTTCTTTTTTTTTTTAAAACAACGGCCGGGTTACGCGAACTTAATTCCGGTTCGTTAAACTTGGAGGAGGGGCGGGCGTATTTGAATTTTGATGTGAAGAAAAAGAACGGTTTGACGAACTAATGACATATAATAATTTTATTTTTGTAAAAAAGTTAGCTTGGTTCGGAGGAAGCGGGTGAAACTATCAAACTCAAAATGGGATAAATTTAAATAAAGTAAAAAGTTAGTCACGTACACAAATAAAATAATAAAAGCGAGAGCATGCACTTTAAAGAGGGATATATAACTATCGGGACGCGTGAAGAGCAGTTTGTGTAACGACTGTCTAGACGACAATTAATTCAAAACGCTCACGATGTATAGTCATGTATACGCTTATCCCTAGATTATTATTTCAACTTTGAATATTACGTCTAATTTTTCTCGATCGAATTAATATTGAACGTCTATAGGTCGAAGAAGTTTTCGTACATTAAACGCATTCATACAATTAATAAATAATTCTGGTTCAAAAGAATAATTTATAAATGTTCTAAGGACAGTGTCAAATTGAAATATGTTGGAGATGTTCGCGCTGAGAGAATCTTTAACTTCGATAAATCGAGAATAGTCGTTCGTCGTTACACAGAAATCCAAAGTACTCTCGTCATTAGATAAAACTTTTCTTACAGAACTATCAACATCCAATTTGACTGTCACAGCAACTATAGTTGTTACAGCAGCACAGTGATAAACGATGAATTTATTAATTGCATTAATATATAGTTATATATTTATATTTATATTTACAATAACTTTAGCTTTTGAAAATCTACGTAAAAATTAATAACAAGAATCAACTTTACTATCAGTGTTAATAATCTTCCAGCAAATCTTGTCATAATAATAACAATAACTACTTTTACGATAATTTTTTAGAAGTAATTCCATTATGCTAATAATTAACATAATCAGAGGATGCATGTAAGCAAGTACAATACACAAGTTTTCGATGGTATTGAGACTTATTACACACTTTTTCATCCATAAACAAGGGCCAAAAACTAACTTTTTGAGGTAAAAATTAAAATTTTTTTTATTCTGTTTTTCGTTGGTCAGAAGATCGCTGCAAAATTTTGGTTGTGCTACTGGGGTAGTTTTTATTGATGGGCTTTTTATTCTTTTCTTTGCATGTACCGTAGACAGATAAAAACAGCCTAAACTGGCGCTTTAGCGAGCACCTTGTTGTGAATAGAGGTTCCTCGCGATAGGTAGTTCCTATTCACCACGAATACAAAGCTCGTAGAAACGCAGCTTTTTGTCGGTAAAATTTGCATCACATGTGCCTTTCAAAACTAAGTGCAGTGTACCTTCCAAGTAATTACCCGAATAATAATAAATTTATAAATACAGGCGTGGCTCAATGCGCTTTTGAGTATTCAGTTTTTACACCTACTTGCAGCACAGCGTACCTTAGGATACAGATCACTCAACAGATACCCAGAGAAGAATTCTGACATTCAAACTGTTCTATTTGCTATAAAACTTATCATTTAACGAAAAACGCGTCAGTGCGGGCCTTCTTTCTCGGCTTTTGAGCAAACAGTTTTGTTTTGTACTGACTTTTTCACGGGGGAAACGGAAAGAGCGAGGGAAAAAGTGCTTTACAAGCAAAAGAAAAAGCGTAATTGTACACATTTTAAATGTGATGTGCGCACATGCTATTACTATGGTAAAAAAGGATTGACTGCGTAATATAAAAATCGCCAGCATATAAAAAATATGCTTATCTCAACCAACCCACTGTATTCTTATAAACACTACCTCTAAATTTGACTGTTCATCCGCAGATTGTTATCGATATTGTTATCACTTTTGTAAAGATTATTCTAATGATATAAATTAGATTTTTACTGTGTACTTCGAACAATGCGCGTGTCTACTCATACAAACGCTGCTATCGCTTCACGTCCTTCTTCCTTCAAAGCTCAGTCAGATACAGCGCTATTTAAAAGTGAAGTAATAGACAACAATACAATCCTTTGCACTACTTCATATTGTCACGCACAAGTTATTAACGGCGAACAATTCTCTGCTACCGTTCCATATTACACACACACGACACACGAAAGACAAACTACCTTATCACTCCATACAATCACATACAACTCGTAAACGCGTTTACTCGTTTCATTTGCCTAAAAAAAGAAGCGGAAAAAGCGGGAGTAGAGGATGAGGAAACACAGCAGTAAAAACCGATACCCTCCGTCAACAAGCAACGGGCTATTATGACACAAGTTCTTAATTTTATTTTATTTTTTGATGTTATTAACTTGATTGATGCAATGGTAGAGCAGACAATACTAGAAACATGCTTTGGGTGTTTCTCGTAGAGAGATTGGAAACTTTTAATGGAGGAGGAACTATCGATAATGTTTATTCGTGGCCGCAAGTACGATGTAGGTATCAGCGAGAGACATTAGCTTAGTGTAAATGGCATTTTACAAGTATATGGTATTAATAACGACAAGTAAAAATTCTATAATATTAACTACTTTTGTTTTATACCCCAATGAATATGTATGTGAAAAATAGTAATATAAATAATTACATTTGAAACATTTAGTAGCTGCATAATGTTATTCGGGGAAAGGAGACATCCCACGTGCAATAATTATACTCATAAAATTGGCCAATCAGAGACCATTAATAATTGACTGATCAAATATCCAAGGTTAGCATTCTGACCGTTTTACACTTCAAAATGGAAAGCTATCCGGGCGAATTCGTTTTTCACCATTATCCTCTAATGGCTGTAATGGGCCTTGGGGCTCATAAGGACATTGAGAATTCTATATCTCCTCCGTCGTCACCCAATCAGCCGAAATCTCCTGCATCAAGACGTAGCTCGACAAGTGCTCCAACTCATTCGATATCAACACGACTACAACTGTCAAGAACTTTACTTAATATATTATTGGCTAAAGGTCAAGATACCGTTTGGGAACCACCTAAACACGGAAATCTAATGTTCCGTGTGGTAGCATTAGAAAAAAATCATCAATTCCCAGTCAAAAAGACAGGAAATAAAGCAGTTTCGTCACATTCATCGCTGTCCCCAATGACACCTGATTCTCCATTGTATCCCGATGGCCTGATTACCCCAATATGGGTGAAGAAACACCGGGAAGTAGCTCCTTCTGTAGTCGTTGGGTTTTATGACTTGTGGGAATGGTCAATGGGAGGAGTGTCTATTGATGAGAAAGAAAAGCTGCCACACGTACCGGAACCATTGGGTAATATTAACCCAATAGAAAGAGAGAAGGATACCGATCTTGTAGCCGAGATTAACGAACGGAAAAAGACCATCATAGATCGAGGGATTAAATTTACCGTTGTGATATTGTTGAGGTCACAACATGTCGGTGAGAAATGAATAACAAATGATTACTGCCAATATAATATATCTATCTTACATTGATCTTTTCAACAGATGATTCCAATATCGATGAGAGATTGAATTATATAAAGAAAATGTGTAGTCTTGAGGGGAAAAATATGTTTTTTGTCCTTCCTCCAAGCTCTCAAAATGAACTACAAGAATTTGCTACAAAGTAATTGTTGATATTTTTTTTTCGCAATTTCCTGTCTTCCTTATCTGCCTAATATAATTATTTGATTAATTTAAATCTAGTCTTCAGAAGTCACTTTATGATCATGCTCTCGCGTATTATCGTGAGCTTAGTAAACGTATAAAGAAGAAACGATCGCGATTACCATCAACAACAAGCGCTCCAAATGTACGCCGTGAAGAAAAGTCTGATAATACCAACCAACCATTAATCGTTCAAGGATGGATGGTCAGATATGACTATAAAATGGCGATGTTTGCAGAATTTAGGCAAGAGATCGATTCTGCTGTCAAGTAAGTCGTTATAACTGGATTTAAAAAAAAATCTCAAAGACATGTTACCCGTAATAATTATAACTGCATTTAGGTATTACATATCAGCATACGATCTGTTGGTGGATATGTTTGCTCCCGTCCCACTAATAACGCCCAATGCACCGCGACTGACTCCGCGAACAAAGCGATGGGCAGAAGCAAAAGTACTTGCTGACAGTATGAATCTCAAAGTAATACTTTAATATATATATGTGACGAATTAATAGTTGTCTAATGAATATGAGTATATAACTCACTGTATGATGTTATATACATATTTTCTCCTTTCTCCAGATCTGCAAATTATATCTTTATTTCTCTGGCTATACTCAATCAGTATCCCATCTCAACAAACATGTTTCTACCTTTCACGGTCTATCTGATTCGTTTCACATGGGGAAAGACACGTTCGAATACTGGACATGGAAGACTAAGCAATATCGATTATATGGAGATTTACTTGATATTGCCGTCAGAAATGGATTCAAGATTCCATCCGTTGAGACGTGGACAAATACATATGAAAGTCGAGGTGCAGGTGGTAGCGGATATGGAGTGGGATCGGGATCAGGAGCTGCTCCCGGAGGTGTTGATCCCAGATTAATATTACAACATGCTGGTTTCTATTACCATCAAGCTGCCATGTGTAATATAGAACGACGAAAGAAATTCTTGGCAGTGGAAACAGTGAGTTTACCAATCAATAATAATATATAGTGCTCACTGTAAACCTTAATAATTTTCCTCTTTATGCCTATGTTCTAGTTATCAAAAGAGTCACCGGATTCACCCGATCTTCCGCCTCAAGCATCACTCACAGCCGAACGTAGTGTTGATCATTCTGCCCTAACTATCGAATTGCTCACCAAATCATATGAACAGTTCAAAAAGTACAAATCTGGTCGAATGACGTTATATCTGGCATCAGAAATAGCCGGAACATATTATGATGTTAATAAATACGAAATGGCTTTAAGGCAAGCGCAAGCGACATACGGCAGATGGTGTTCAATGTCGAGTATATCAACATGCTAACGTTTGTAATATATTAATCTAGATTTTTTGAGCGTATAGCAAAGACATATCGCAAAGAATCTTGGCATACCGTCCTAGAATCAATATTACGATGGTCTTTGAAGTGTGCCAAGGAAATTGGATCTTGGGATACCGCAATCGAGATAATGGTCGAATTACTGTCTGATCGTAAGGACTCAAACCAACGTGAAATGCTGCCAGCAAAGATTTATTTTTCCCTTGCTTATTAGATTTGGTTTTGACTCAATTCAGCTTTTCTGAATTTGCAATTCAGGATTTACAATGAGTGAGGAAGCAAGACTCGAGATACAAAATGATTTGAAAAGTATCTTGTCACAGGTAAGAAAGTCTCATTATATGTATTCGTATTTATTATGATATTAAGCGGACACTTGTATTCTTTTCCTATATTAGCCAAATAATCCTTCATCTACACTCCGAATTGACATGGATCAAATCAACTCATTTGGTATCTTATATTTGAATTGAGCTATATGTCGGTATTTAATTCTCAAAATAAATACTAACATTCTTAACACATTCTAAACCCAGTAACCGTGCACTTTCAATTTAAACGATTAACAACGTTTGTTGGCACATCGACACCATTTCAGCTCTCACTCGGCACTTCTCACACATCACCCCCGGTTCCATTTCAACTCTCGTTTATCCGATTGATATTCAGTGATCCATACTTTAATCATTATATACGCTGTGGACCAATAACAGATAGCGAGAAGAGTAAAGAAAAGCTGCAATATCTGGATATTAAAAATTTAAAGCAAGAAGAGATCGAGGAAACTGGGGTCGTATGGGCGAAGGACGTTGAATACGAAATAAGAAAGAACAGTATTGTCGTATTTGAAGGTCTAGTTGTACCTAAAGAGAGTGGTGACTTAACGGTAAGCAACATACAACGCTATTGTATTATCGCGTACGCGTGTTATTCAAGCATCTTATATTTTCTAGTTGATGTCTGTGTGCTTGGGCACAGTTACATCTTCTTGGAAAGTGGAATTGAATTTTAGCATTAATGAACAAGGGGAAGGCATTCAACGACGCAAGTGGATGGAGCTAGGGACTGAGAATGAAGGTAAAAGATATATTGTAAACTGAAAGATGTAATTTTGAATGTATTATTATTGACAACTGTTTGTTATTCAGTCACTAGACCCAAATTCATCAATCTTGAAGGATCCGGAGATCGACCATCGATAAAGTACTTACATTCACCTTTTATTATGTTGACTTTTCTATATCATTTTTTTTTCCACTCCTATCGCTTACTGCGTATTCTACGTCTGTTTTTGTCTCTCTTGTTAGAGTGATTCAGAAGCAAGCAAAAATTGACTTCAAGGCCTCGCATCACCCTCCAGCCCTCTTAAATGAAATGTATCCCATCGAACTAAAAATCACAAATAATGAACCAGAAGAAGTAAGGGTGATTATGAACGCCGAAATAATGGCTGCTGATGCACAGGGTATATCG